GGGAGGCGCTAGGTGCTCATGCACTCGGTAACCTTCAGGCGCCCCAGCAGCCGGCCAGGGCCCCACGGAGCCCGCACCGCAGCCGCCCCAACAGGGAGGTTGGATTGATTAAGGATCAGGTCTTACTGTCGCAGGCCAGGATGAGGGCAGGTTGCGACAGCGCGCAGCCGGCACCCTTCAGCCACGACAAGACCGGCGGGGGCGGGGAAACGAAGCTAACAAGCAGGCGGGCGAACGCCACGGCCGCCTCCGCCTCCTCCGCTTCCTCCCTGGCCGCCGCCTCCGCCCCTGGTTGGCCAGCGCCAGAGCTGTCGCACATTTTGCCTGTCATCGAGGTCGCAAAGCACCGCTTTGCGGCTATCACGTGACTGCCCTCCTGTCAAGCGCTGGGAGCGCGACTACCGGGAGGAGATGCCTACCCGCGCAGCGCAGACGCCAACCATCGACTGTGGGAGCTGGAAGTCCCGCAACGGGTTATTCCGGTTTGGGCTTAAGCTAAGGCCTGGGGGTACTGCCTCCAGCTGGCTGGGGCGGGGATCAGAGTCTTCGCCTCACGTGGTTAGTCACACACCTACAGCGTCTCAACAACTCAATACATTCTCACAACCCGTCGAACTAGAATTTCACAACTAGCATTTCACAAATGTACATTTTAAGTTTCACCAAAATACAGCTTCATATGCAGTCCCTAATCGTCAACCTGACAGTGAAAACCCGCTAACACTGTCACATATATTCTCAAGCCTTTTGGTCTGCATCCTCAGTCTCAGTACCACAGAAGTACCCAAACTCCTTCTATCATATACGTGGGGGAGGCCTGGAAGCTGAGAGAGTCTTCAGAATCTCGACCTCAAAAAGAGACTGAGCATTTTTAAATTGGTAGTTATAAGAAATAAAATCGTGGGCTGGGGTTGTGGCTCAGTGGTAGAGTGCTGGCCTACCACGTGCGAGGCCCTGGGTTCGATCCTCAGCGCCACATAAAAATAAGTAAATAAAAAGAAAGGTATTGTGTCCGACTACCACTAAAAAATAAATATTTTTTTAAAAAAAAAGAAAATTGACTTACGTTGTGATCACATCTATTGTTTCCAGTTTTGAAAGTATTCAGGTCTTATTAAAATATTCTTACAAATAAAGAAACTAGATTACTCATCAATTACTGAAAGTTTCAAGCTTTGGTCAGAAATTTACAGCCTTTGTACCTAAGCAAGCCAAAAAAAAAAAATGTACAATGAACAGCGGCAGTTTATAATTGCCACCCAGACTAGAGGAAGGGTAACAGTGGAGTATGTTCAACTTTGATTTGGGAAAATATTAGCTTCTGGACTGTAATGAGCCATTTGTATGCTTTGTAAAGTATGTAAACACCATAAAATGTGAAGTGAGATTGCTGATTTTATGTAGTACATCTAAAATAGAAACTAATGAAATTACCATATGAAATCAAGGCCTAAGCTTATTAAATTGGAAATGTATCCTTGAAAAATCAGAAATCCGAATTAAATGTTCAGTTTTTTTGAATACAAAGAAGTATGCTAAGTTGTTTTAAGATCTAGATGTACTGGGGGTGTAGCTTAGTGGTAAGAGTGCTTGCCTACCATGAGTACCCGGGTTCCTGCATTGGATCCCCAGTACATTTATATATTTTATTCCCTGAAAAGAAATTCTAAAATTCAGTACAAATATAAATTATGAGGGCTGAAGTTGTACCTCAGTGGTAGAGCTCTTGCATAGCATGTGTGAGGCACTGGGTTGGATTCTCAGCACTGCCATATAAATAAATAAATAAATAAATAAATAAATAAACATCAATAACTAAACAAATTTAAGATATATATATAAGATATACATACATATATAAAAATCATGAAGTGAAACAGTGCCAACAATATAAGTAAGGCTATTCAGTTGCTCGACTGGCATAAGTCACCCTAGGTAGGAAGGTGAATAATTGTTTCTATTTATATGGTCCAGATGAATACAGCTGTAAAACATTGGGGGGATTACTCTATATATTATATGACTGTACCTCAGAACCTATCCAAATATTGTGCTACTCTCTTTATTCCTCCCTTCTTTCCATCTGGAAATTAAAACAATATAACGTAGAAAGATGGAAGAATGTCCTATACATTCAGGCAGACTTTTAGTACTGATTTCCCAAATAATTAACTGTAGGAAGTTGGATAAGTTTCTTAAGGCTCTCTGACTTCAGCTTTTAAGAGAACTGTTTCGGGTGGTAAATGAGAAAATAATTTTATGAAAATGTATAGAAAATATTAAATCTTGGGCTGGGGATGTGGCTCAAGCGGTATCGCGCTCGCCTGGCATGCGTCTGGCCCGGGTTCGATCCTCAGCACCACATACCAACAAAGATGTTGTGTCCGCCGAGAACTAAAACAAATAAATATTAAAAATTCTCTCTCTCCTCTCTCTCTCTCTCTCTCTCTCTCTCCTCTCAAAAAAAATTCTCTTCTAAAATATATATATATATATTAAATCTTTTTATAAAGCTAACATATTTCATAGATTTCCTGGGTTTGAGATCTAACTCTGCTCCTTCACAAAACCCCTCTGAATCTGTTTATCTCTAAAGAAAACTTATAGACTATGTTTTATAGGGGACTAAGGAACTCATATAGAGTGATTTTAAATGCTTATGAAAACTCCTCATAAACCTTAAAACTTTCCTAACATATTAGTTGTTGTTATCCTATATGCCAATTCCTAAATGCTTTTCTGAGGGTCCACTCCTTTAATAAAACTTAAGCCAATAAGGATCCCTATCATGATTTTTAGTATCTTTACAACACAGTTTAGTGCTCTAGTGAATTCTGCGTTTTTTCCTTAATTGTTTCATTTATGTATGTTTTCTCTCTTCCCAAATGTTGAAAGTTTCTTGAAATAATAAGCCATTTCATTCCATGTGTTTTGCTTTATTTTTGCTTTTCTGGTACTAGGAATTGAACATCAGGGTACTCTACATCCTCAGCCTTTTTATATTTTATTTTGAGACAGGGCCTCATTACATTGCTAAGGCTGTCCTTGAACTTTCAATCCTCCTGCGTAGCTGGGATTAAGTTATGTACCACCATGCCCAGTTTATGGGTTTGTATATTCACCATATTTCATATGTAACAGAGTCTTGGGTAGATAGTCAATAATTTTGAATTTATTGTTTTTATTGTGTCTAGTATGTACAGGTACATTACATACCTTATTTCTTATTTAATTTAATCCTCACCAAAAAAAAAAAAAACCACTTAACAGAATAAAAAGCTGCTCTGAGAGTTTAAGAATTTGCCCAAATTCATGCTACAAAGTGACAAACCTAGGAATCAAGAATAGGTTAAAACCAATATTCTCTCCACTTACCCTGACCCCTCCCTACAGTATTACCCTCAATGTTGCTAAGTTTAAACAGTTTCTGAAAAGACAAGTTCTTCGCTATTACCAATGGTTGGAAAACAGCATCCAAAGTAACTATCCACTACAGAGGAAAGGAAAGAAAAACAATTGTTGAATTAAGAGGAAGAAAAAACAATTTATTTTCTATTTCTTCAAAATTCCTTCCTTGAGAACTTTTTTGTTCATAAACATGAACAATGAAAAATAATTTTAATCTACCTATTTTTATTTACCAATCTCATAGTTTGTCTACTGTAATATTATGTGGAGCTCAAACACATCTTTTTCTAGAATTTCCATGTTCTTTGATCTTATTATTACTGTTTTAAAAGGAATTTTTTACTTCATCTTTCTTCCAAATATAAACAATAAGCCTTATTTTTAGTTGCTTTACTAAATTTTTGTTTTAAATCACTTTGGATTAATAGAAAAGTTTCAAAATAATACAGAATATTACTACATGTTTTCCATCTTCCCCTAATGTTTCTATCTTATATAATATGGTACATGTATCAAAACTAAGAAATTAATATTGCTAGAATTCTATTAATTCCAGAGAATCTATTTGGATTTTTATACTCATTATCTTTTACCTATTCCAAGGCCTAATCTAGAATACCACAGTACATTTAATCGTTGAATCTTTATAGTTCTTCCAATCTGTGACAGTTTCTCAGTCAAGCTTTTAAAGATCAGTAACTTCATAGAATGTCCCTCAATTTGAGTTTGCCTAATGCTTCCTCAGAACTGTTTATGGATTTTTGAGGAAAAATACTACAGAAGTGATGTGTCCTTCTCTTCGCCTCATAACAAGGCCACATGTTACCAAAATGACTTACTACTGGTGATATTAACTTTGATCTTTTAAGATAACCAAATTTTTTAAACAATATTTCTTACTTATAGTGTAATTCACAAGACTAATGGTACTACAGTCTTAGACCCATACTTAAGTAAATAAACATATATTTCATCTAGTGATTGCATGTTTTTTAAGAATCCAGTGTTAATTCTAGACTCATAAGTAAAGAAAATCTATAAGACATAAGATTTAGGGCCTAAGATCTTAGTTCAAACACTATGTCCACTACCTGCAGACTTTAAATTTCATCTAGTGATTGCATGTTTTTTAAGATTTCAGTGTTAATTCTAGACTCATAAGTAAAGAAAATCTATAAGACATAAGATTTAGGGCCTAAGATCATAGTTCAAACACTGTGTCCACTACCTGCAGACTTTAAATCACAATCTATCATTCTTAATTCCCTCATCTGAAAAATGGGAATAATTATATATACCTCACAGAGTTGTCAAAATTAAATAACATATGTATCATATTTCATCATCACAAAACACTATCCAAATACTAATTGTTGTTATTATGCTTAAGCTTTTGAGTTGCTTACTGTGCTTTTTTTCCCCCTTACTTTACAAAAGGACTTTCTTAAGTGGTATAAGTACCCAGATGAAAAAGCCTACTGAATCTCAGAAATAAAATGTCAAAGCCACAAGTAAAAGTCATAATAAGGCTCCCTGCCACTGCTGGTCTGCTTTCCACCTCTGTTTATCTATAAATACGAAAAAGAGAAAGATTTGAGACCAGGTTAAGAAATTATAGCCGGAAGTGATGTTGCAGGTTGTAATCCCAGGGTTTGGGAAGCTGAGACCTGAGAATCATAAATTCGATGTGGCTCAACTGGTAGGGCGCTCGCCTGGAGTGCGTGCGGCCCGGGTTAGATCCTCAGCACCACATACCAACAAAGATGTTGTGTCTGCCGAGAACTAAAAAATAAATATTAAAAATAAAATTCTCTTCTCTCTATCTATCTAAAAAAATTATTAAAAAAATCAAGATCAAGCCTCAGCAATTTAGCCAGGCCCTAAGCAACTAGTGAGATCCTTTCTCAAAATAAAAAATAACAAAAAGGAATGTAGCTCAGTGGTAAAGTGCCCCTGGGTTAAATTCCCAGTGCCACCCCCCGACGCACCAAAAAAAAAAAAAAAGAAGAAGAAAAAGAAATTTTAAGTATCTCATACATATTGTCAAAAGCTAATCATTCGGAAACCATGTATATTTGAGTCAATGAGGGAAATGTACAGAAAAGTTTGGCTAAATCATATTCTATAATTCCTTTAAAATGATTCTAAACTACTAAAGAAAGAAGTTCCCATGATTGTTAGTACTTAATATCCAACCAGAAAGTCTATATTTTAGTATTTGAGGGACATATCATTACTGTGTTAAAAAAGAAAACACTACTTTCAATATAATAGAATACTGTATGTTCCATGTTAGAATATAAGCTTATTGAAGGCAGAAATATTCTTGAATCTATTTCTGTGAACTAGCACTCAATATATGTTGTATTTTCATTGGCAATACTTATAATGCTCACTTATGGTCTCTAAACTAGACTAACCTTGTGCTGCCAGTTCTGGTATACACATTAGGCAGAGTAAACATACACTTTAGGGGTCCAGCAAACTCCACAAAAACAAACAATAAAAAAAAGTTCCACAAGCACAAACTTCCCTAAAGAATTTAATAATTCAGCATAAGCAACTGAACTAGTCATTATGGAGAAAAACAGAACTTTGTTGTACTTTTTTATTTTGGGGGTTTAAAAAAAATTTATTTACATATGAGATAGGGATGCTGGGACATCAAAATATTTTCAGTGCTTAGGAGGATCTGTAAAAATCTTAATCCAGTTCCATGTGCATCATGTATTACCCTAAATTTTTTTACTCAGTTAAACAGCAACACTATTTTACAATATGAAAATTATAATACATGTTTAACCCATTCTTTACATAAAAAGTACAATTGATTCTTCCTCATTACAATATTATCTGTAAGCAAGAAGTCATAATGAATGCTAGAAAGCAACTTTTATAAATTGTATTAATATCAGTTATCTCTTAGCCAATAGTGCTATACTTCCCATCTATACAAAAAAAACAGTTCCCAAAATAATCCAAAGAAAATTATTTATTACTTGCATATATAGAACCCTAAATGTCCAACTGGACTGTCTAAATATATGTAAGAAAAAAGAGGCATCAGTTTCTTGTGTTGCAGTTCCCACCTGATTCACAATTCATCTTTAGTTACCTCAAATAAAGAGCTCTGGTTATTTCTTTTTTCCTGAACAATTCAGTTAAAACCCTGCCAGATTCTTCACAGTTTCAGTTGTCCCTCCACCTAACAGCCAAACTGTTGCTAGATAATTATCCAGATGTATCTAGTGTGTTTTAACACTCCCAGTTTATTTCAAGGACTTGGGTATAGATGTTGCTTAAGTACATATGGTGCCAGAGACTGGTTCTAATTAGACCTTTTGTCATTTTTTGCCTGACTTCATTTTGACCACCGGGTGCATCATGCAAACGTGTTCGATATTTTTAAGAACATAAAAATAAAGAAAGCAATAGTTAATTAACGTCTCATAGCTAAAAGAGAAAATTTAAAGGTACAGAGAATTGGGACCTGATGATTGAAATAAACAGGTAGGGTAGAGACGATTCCTTTACACTTAGACCTTCCTCCCCAACTCCAGCCCAGAAAACCAAACCCCATCTAAGTAATAAGAAAACTTCCACAACAAAGAAAAAGCTGTTAGAAAACTCTTTCCAAAGCATACTTTCAATAGTTTAAAATAATTGCTTTTCTCCTTTTCCTCCAGGAATAGGAGGAATATTTCACATTTTCTAGTCCCTGCAACATTAAGACTCCAGAGTTCATTATGCTTTTCTACTTATAACATGTTTTCCGTTTTCGTAAAACCTCGGCGTGTAAAAAAGACTTTTGCTTTTTCTGGGCATTGTGCTGTCAGTCTGGGACTCTCCTCCAACCCAACAGCCACCTCGGCGGCCCTCAGCGATGATCTGGCAGGTGCGAGGCCGAGGCCCGGAGCTGAGCGAGGGAGGCCGAATTTACACAGCGCGCGCACCCAAAGGAGGAGGCAGCCGCAGGCCGGGTTGTTCGAACTTTGCGAGCCTGGCTGCGGCGCGCGGAGGCTGGCCGACCCGCCTCGCTCAGCGCCAGCTCCCTTTCCGCCTGCCAGCAGCTTGTGCTGCCGAGCCTCCAAGGCCTTTCAGCTCTCCACAATCGACTCAATTTAACAGTCCCCTTGCCCCCGCCCTTACAGGGCAACCCGGGTTTCGCGTCCCGGACTCCATCCCGCCCTCCAGCCAGCCGGAGGAGGGCAGGCCCCGCTCTGCCGTGCCGATCTCTGCTCTAGTGGGGCCGAGCCGCGGGGCCGACAGGAGGGAGCCAGCTCTACAGACCCAGCAGGCAGACAGCAAGAAAGCGGGAGGAAGGGCGCGGGGCCTCGAGGGCGGAGCGTGCTAAACTGCGAGCTCTAGCGCCACCAGGGCAGAGGGCGGGGCGTGGGCGGTGCCCTGCCTTCCCGCTCCCGCGGCGCAGCAACTCCGCCGGGCCTCCTTAAAACTCTGCCGTTAAAATGGGGGCGGGTTTTTCAACTCAAAAAGCGCTCAATTTTTTTCTTTTCAAAAAAAGCTGATGAGGTCGGAAAAAAGGGAGAAGAAACCGGCACCATCTCTGCAGAGGCAACAGAAGCAGCAATTGTTTCAGCGAAAAAAGAAGCAACGGAGGGAGGGAAGGAAAAAGTCAGAAAGGGGGACGACGCGCAAGTGCCTGTAGTGGTGAGGCGAGCAGAGACCTGCAATTTTGGGGACCAACTACAAAGGAGACTGTCACTGGCAGTGCTGCAGCTTGGGAGGAAGCTGTGCTGCTCAGTTCGGCTCTAGGGCACAGCTGGCTGGCAGCCGCTGCCCTGTCGGCTGCTCAGGCTAGGGGCACAGGCTGGGGGACCGCGAAAGATTGGCGAAGTGGCACAGGACGCCGAAACTGCTGAGCTCTCGACAAGAGGGCGGCTGAACTGGCTGCGCCCTGGAATTGTGGCGACTACCCATACTCAGGGCTTGGCCTCCTCTTCCCAGGACCCTCCCCATCTCGGAGGCACACAGAAAACTGGGAAAGACACGAAAAGAAGGCGACGGCGGCAGCTCAATGAGTGTCTACAGCAGAAAGCCAGACCTAACTCAGTCGTAGGCGGGAAGTTACCCGTGAGCTGCTCTTCGCAGCTGAGATGCTGCCGCGAGCTGCTCCAGCGACCCGAACCCGATAGACGCTTCCCGCATCGCTATCCTCCTTGCTCAGGCTGCCGGGTGTCCCGGGACCCGGTGGGGCCGGCATGACGGGCTTGCCGGGTCCGGCCGCACGCTCGGCAACCTTGGGAGTTGCGCGCCCAGCCCGGCTCCCACGGCCTCTGACGCGGCAGTAGTCCGCAGCTCGGCCCCCACCGGACTAAAGGCTCCTCTTGAGAAGCCGAAAACATTGGAAATTATTTCGACCTGTAACTGGAGGGCCACGGAACTGCTACTCCTGTCTGCCTTTGGCGATCATCTTTAACTCGCGGAGCACGTCAGCATCCAGCCACCGCGGCGCTCTCCCAGCAACGGAGGACTCCAGACTACCCCATTCCGTAAGACGGATGGAAACCGAGCCCCTCCGAGGACCTGCCCCTGAAGTTCTGGCTCAAGTCACCACCGTGAACAAGGGTGGGTTAATGTCTTTTCTTCTTCCCAAATGCCTTTTCTTCCGCGGTATTTTCTACCCTGACCTAGTCCCTTAAGTCTCCACACATAATCCTCAGAGATCTGTAAGTGCGTGACATTTCTGCCTACACCTCACGTCCAGAGCAGTTAACCAAGAATGTCTGTGTGTCTCTCAGTTGAATCACCAGGGGGTTGAATCTTCATAGGGGTTAAGCTAAAAAGCGAGGAAAGGAGCCCCCCCTCCAATGGCTCAGTTTTGCTGAATAATCACGTGTGAATCGAGGGGCGGGCTTTTGGCAGGCAGATCTTACTAGTATTTACTACCAAGCTCTACTCCAGATTAACCATCCCAGTCCTTCTGTCAGTCTCCGATGCCATCATGCAGCCTAGTTAGGAGCAAAGGAAGGGGGAGAAAGAAAAACAACTAATTCATCTTTTCCTGATCGTCAGGACCCTAAAGAATGGCCGAACCTTGGGGGAACGAGTTGGCGTCCGCAGCTGCCAGGGGGGACCTAGAGCAACTTACTAGTTTGTTGCAAAATAATGTAAACGTCAATGCACAAAATGGATTTGGAAGAACTGCACTGCAGGTTGGTATCCAAAGAGGTGGGGAAAACAGGTTAATAATGTTGCCTACGTGAACCAGGTCTCTAGCATGACAGCTTTTCAACTTTCAGGGGTACAAATTTTCACTGTTTTTAAACCTAGTCGGTTGCCATATTTTATATCTTTAAGTGGATCCAGCTCCCCAAAATGACGTACTTTGAACAAACTCGTCAAATCCAATAACATCCTCCATACCAAGAGGATTCTAGGTTTGGTCTTGATTGGGGGAATGTTTTTGTGACGGTTGGGGATTTTAAAGTAGTGATAGGAGCGCCGAGGACTATTTGTTTTGTTTTGTTTTAGACAGTTCTGTAAGCACAATATTATGATTATTATTTGAAGTAAATGCACTGCTATTAGTGGTTTCATGTACTTTGCCCTTGATGTTAATTTTTTTGACTACTAGCAAGAGTGTTTTTCCTTCAAATGCTTCACGTTTTGACAAACGACCTTTCCTCATTTGGAATGGGCACAGGGACAGGATGTACATTTCACAGTTAATATAATACCATCCACCCATTAAGGAATGAAAAGAAATAAAAAGTTTAATTTTCTAGTCAGAGCTCAGCTGCAGTGTTTTTGTCTCTGTGGTCATGCCGTGGTATGCTCTAATTTTCAGTAATTAGGTTTACAGGCAACAATTGACACATGTCCAGCTGCCAAATATGTACCTGATAATTTTTTCCTCCTCCAAACGTTATCATGTAACTTAGTAGAAAGGCTTAGAAACAGAAAAAAAATGGAAAAGTAGTCTCAAATAGTTGCTTTATCAGACTTCTTATGATATTTTTATGAACTGTTCTTATTTGGAAGCTGTTTTTGAAAACCCAGTGGGAAGAGGGCTTTTAAATGGCTTTGTTTAGAAGGCTTTGTTATTATAAGAATTATAAGTTTTAAGTTCACATACTCTGTACATTTTAAATTTGAATGCACTGGCCTTGTAAAACTTTCAATATTAAGGAAGATTATTCATAGATACTAAAGTATTTATCTTGTTATTTCAGATAGATTAAGTAGGGAAAGAATTTTTTTCCAACTAGTAGTTTTCAACAGGTTTGTGATATTAACAATGCCACAAATGTAATATATTGAAAAGTTTCCTACTGAAAAGTCCAGAGATTATCTCAGTCTCACAAAGTATGAATCCATGTTCAGAATAAGATCTTACAGGACTTTTGACGAACAAGAAGATTGGACAATTAATACTATAAAAAGTTTGGACAAATATTTTTAATACAACTCAGCAGTCATGTTCATATTCAACATACTTATCAAGATAATAACACTCACTTATTGTGACTTAGTCTTAGTACATAAAATGAAATGAAACACACACAAACAGGAATCTAGAGGCTTATTTTCAGTATGCCTCTGAAGTTATGTCATAAGAAAGAAATTTCTTCAAAACCTTTCTAATATCACTATTATTTTCTATGAGAGATGGCAAATTTCTTCTATAATTATATTTATTTAACTCAATTGCAAAAGCTTTCTCTTCCTAGGGTTAGGTTTTCAATCAGTATAATAATGAAGGCCTTAATCATACATTTGCTTTGCAAGGATCCATGGGGTCTCTCTTGTTTTTCTCACTTGAATGTGGCCAAATCTTTAGAGAGAGTTGTGGCAAAAATTAAATTGTATTAATTTTTAATAACCAAAAAGTATATTTCCCTGAATTTCTTGAAAAATAAATTGTCGTTTTTACTGTTGCCATAAAGGAAGGACTAAAGGTTCACAGGGTTGATCAACTGGGAAACTTAATATCTTGGCCATCTATTTAGTTTACATTTCTAAAATATATTTTATTTATAATTCTCAGTATATTTTATGTTACATAATTGTGATTTTTAAAAACATTTCAAAGAAATAAAATTAACTGTATGTATTTTCCAATGGATTATTATTTAATTTAATAAACATTGTCTTCTGTGCAACCTATTTATTTTAAATTTAGATTATTATGAATATACCTAAATATAAATGAAACTAGTTAAAATGCTGAATTTTCTGGCATGTTAATGAATAATGTTTCTCACAACTAAATTATATTACACTTGCATGCTGTTCTACAAGATATTTTTTAACTATGAGAGACTAATAGACACCTTTTATTAAAGTGAAATACATTTAAACAACAGTAAATAAGTTTTCGGGATGTGAATTATTTCATGTTGATAGCCCATGTTAATAACACATTTTGACTTGTAAAATTTTGGCAATTTACAAATAGTTATTCCTAAATGCTTATAATAACTATAAAAGTAAATGATAGGCTCACCAGTTCATTGTTAAATGGGCTGAAACCACAAGACAAAGCTGTCTGTGCCCCAAAACACACATCAAATATCTTAGTTTTTGCTTTCGCTCTCTTGAAAATCAGGAGATTAGTTAGAACTTTGAGAAACAGTAAATAATACTGTAGGATGACTGTTTCATCCTTTTCAAGAACAGCTGCCAAACAATCATTTTCTATCTAATAAAAGGTATAACATGAACTTAATTTTACATAAATTGATATAATAAGCATTATAGAACACTGTGGCTTACTTAATGCTTTAATAATCAGTAACATTCTGTAATTTGAAATGAAGGATTCTAAACAGTGAACATAGTAGTCAATAGTAAAGAACTTGCAAAGAAAAATATTTTAAAATAAATATTTGGAAATTCGAGGTTATCAAAATCTCTATTTAGAGGGAACTTGTGAAAAGTAATCATTTAAGAAAATATTAAGTCTGGATTTTTAATAGATCAGTTTTACACTGGGTGACACTTATTTGGGACTTTAAAGAAACTCACCATCCTTACTTGTTTTCAGTAGCTATTTAGAAACAAATTTTACTCACATTTGATTTTCCAGAATTAATACTGTAGGCACATTTTATGAACATGTATGAGCAAATAGGAGAAGGAAAATCTTATTTAAATTACAATTTTTTTATTTCAATGAATTTATGAAAGAAAATATGCAACTCTAATGGGAAATAACTGAATTGTCAGCAAAATTTACACAAGTTGCACAACTATTATTGATCAATTTATCCCACTTCTGGGCCCATTTAAAATATTCCATCAAAGAAGCTCAATTTTCAGAAGTACTCTACTTTTACTAATTAGTACTTTCCTTCAATTGAGCCCTTCGGGAGGAGTTGCTAGAAATCTAAGGACTGCATTAAAAATAGTTATATAAATAGGACAGATTGATATTTTAAAATATTCCTGTAGCATAAGCACTTGAAGGATCCTATGTTGTTACTTCTTTTCTAGGTTATGAAACTTGGAAATCCCGAGATTGCCAGGAGACTACTACTTAGAGGTGCTAATCCCAATTTGAAAGACCGAACTGGTTTTGCTGTCATTCATGATGCAGCCAGAGCAGGTTTCTTGGACACTTTACAGACTTTGCTGGAGTTTCAAGCTGATGTTAACATCGAGGATAATGAAGGGAACCTGCCCTTGCATTTGGCTGCCAAAGAAGGCCACCTCCCAGTGGTGGAGTTCCTTGTGAAGCACACGGCCAGCAATGTGGGGCATCGGAACCATTCGGGGGACACAGCCTTCGACTTGGCCAGGCTCTATGGGAAGAATGAGGTCGTTAGCCTGCTGGAGGCAAATGGGGTCGGGGACGGGGGAGCAGGAAATCTGCAATGAATATGGGAGGGCTTTCCCACATTGCCTTTACTTTGTCAGTTAATTAGTTGGCTTTCTTGACTATTTTAATATCTTTTGTTAAAATATAGTTTTTTCATATTTTAAGCAGCTAGTTAAAGCTTCTGAAACTGCACAAGTGGAAATCTTGCTACAGGTTCATGAATATATTTAAACATCTTTTTCACTGGCAAAATCTTGATATCTAATGTGTAATTGCAAATAGCTTTGCCTTTCTTCTCCACATTTTATCAACTACTTGACTTTCTTTGCTTACCCCTTTACCAATCATTATATCCAACTTTGTTTATAAAATGGTTTGTCCTGATGCTTCTTTAGCCTAATTAAAACACTTTTTCCAAGCAGGCAGACATTTTTCTGTGATTTTCACTCCTCTATAACCCACACAAAACATGCCACTTGCTAAAAACTGTACTAAAAGCTCACAAGATGTTTTGGAAAAAGTTAGACCATTTGGAAAACTAGATGTATTCTGTTTATGATTCAATTATTATTTTCTTTCTCTCCCAACCTACTCCACAGAGAGTTTACTTGGGACTCATTTCTGCTTTAAAAAAAAAAGAAGAAGAAGAAGAAGAAGAACAGCATTTTTGAGGCTCTAAGTTGACATTATTTCTGTATGAATTTCTCCAAATATTCTCTTTTCTTTTTCTCAAAGTTAAAGCAAATAGTTGAAGAATATTTTTCAGAAGTAGCAATCTGAAAACAAATAAACATTAGCTCTAAAAACCAGTTTTAAAATGACACTTTAAAAGTGCTTCCCATTAGTTGATTTTTAAAAAAAAAAATTTTAAATGAAACATTTGTTTTAGTAATTAATACATTCCCCAATATTGTACCATAAGTGTACTGAATGTAATACTAGTCTTTTCTCCCTGAATCTCAAAAATGTAAAATTACAAAATGTTTATTAAAATAAAATGCAAATACAATTTTGATGGGTTAAAAGATTCAGCAAGAATAATTATAAATTACATATAAAGGTCATAACTGTTTCAGATCTGCATAATAATAAATGTAGAAACGTTTTCAATAAATAAATAAGCCAACCTTCCATATGGCTCTTGATTTCTACAAAACTTTTTGGTAAAGTAGTATAAAATCTTTTTTAGAAGTCTGATTAACTAAAAATAAAATAGGAAATAGAAACATCTCAAAATTTTAAGAGGATTTCCCAACATCTACTACTTATTCTGTCATATTAAAGATTATCACCAAAGGATTTCAATGCAGTTATCATTTATACATTTCAAATAATTTATTTATCACCTCCCACATGAACAGAGGTGTTTTATATGAAAATCCCCTCCTTCTGCTTCATAAGCTCTCTGCCGTTGCTTCAAAAAGAACAAAATACTTAAAGCTTTATTGAAGGGCATGATTCTGATGGCTGCCCTTAAAAGGACTGGAATAGCTGCAGGAAAGTGATTTTCAATCATTTATTTTCCATGAAAAGATTAAAGAATATAGGAGTGCAAGTTTAATCCTTTTCATTTTTTGAGTAAAATTTACATTCCCTAGGTGTAACAAGACTTTGATTTCTGTTACCTTTAATAATTTACTACATAAAGTTTTGATGGCAACTTTTTAAGAAAAAATAGAAATTGACCTGATTTTGAAGGAAAAAACATGCTATGTTTAAAATACAGTAAACATTCAGGATATATTGCTTTTGTGTGCTGAATATTTTCTAAGCACACTACTACTGACAGTAATTTTAAAAACCTTACAATCTGTACTGTCAAGTTGAATGATTCTGAATTTAAAATTCAGGTTCCATTAAACATCACAGTATCCACTATGTGTCATAAAGTAAAATTCCCCTTTAGAGGTTTTTAAATATAAAGGCATATGTTCATAAAGCCAAAGAGGAATACTTCTACTGTGGTCTGAACACAATAGAGGGAGGGGAAGAGTTATCTTTTCATCAGTCTAAAATTTGGTAGGCATTAAAACATCCTACAGTACTCTGGTTCTTCGCAGGAAGTAGCTTTACTAAGTATTTCAGAAATGAGTTATGTGGTCCCCTCTAGGAAATATGAAAACCATTATTCAATCTCTCAAAAAACCTCGACAGTATACTGAAATATATAGGATGGAAAAGACGATACTGCTAAGTTCAACTGGGTCTAACTTGCAGAGAACCGAGGTCGGGGGAGAGATCTGAATTTATTCAGAAACAAAGAGTGAGGATGCAAGTACTAATTAATAGGGTGCCCAGAGCCTCAGGGGACAATGTGATAGAAAACATAAATTAGACAACGCAGTGATGCGCTCCAAAATTTCTTCTCTGCATTCGCATCCACATTGCGAAACTCAGGCTCAAGCCTTTGCTCGGTTATCTAAATCCAGGCTTACACCTGGGACAAGAGGTGGGGCACGTACAAAACCTCAATATATGCTCTGGTATCTGAACCACTAAGCAAAATGCTTTTTATCCTATTTCAGTAGTGAATCAATAATTTTTGATGGACATTTTACACTTCGCAAGGTATGATGAGCTCATGTACACACACACACACACACACGCACGCACATACACACAGGGTAACTGACAAATACACAATAAGGCATTCTGTTTTGGGAAAAGCAATTCACTTGACGATATGAAAAATTTCCTTTATCGTACTTATCAAACGAACATTGTGGAAACTATGGTCCGGGACTGGTTTCGAAATCTCAGTTCCCTAAAAGGTGCTTTCAGCTTTTAATGGGGGTAGAAAGAAGTAATAGTCCAGAAGCCCTGAAAGATCGCAGTGCTAGAGCTAGAGCGAGAGAGGGTCGTACTTGCAGCCTCCCTGACTACCCTAAGCAACCTTCATCAAAGGGCTGAAAAGGGGGAAAGTCCCCGTCTTGGTCTCTGTACTATTTTGCTTTACACTGCAGTTTCAAGAAAACAGATCCACGCAGAGACATAGTGAGAGGCAGGAAACAAACTTTCCGCCTGAGACATGGAGCTCTGCCCATAGCCAATCCAGGTTCTACGGAGGGGCTCCGAAGACATCCTTTCGGTCCTTTTGAAACTCTCTCCAGACTCCAACTCTGGCTCCAGGCTCCCTAGTAAGGAAGCTGGAGCCCAGCGCTTCCTCACCGTCTGCAGAAAAACCCAGGGTGGGGGTGGGGGAGCTTCAAAACCGTTAGGTTGCCTTTTTTTTTTTTTCCTCCCTCGCTAAGGTTTCTTTTCTCTTCTCTTCCTGTCCAAATATTTCAAATTTCCGCGCCTTAAATAACAGTCTCCTTTTATTTAGTTAGTCTCCTCGGCAGGTTTGGCCGCCCACTTGTCTCTGTCCCTCTACGAGCCTGAGACGCCACGGGCGCCTAGTTGCTGCTTGCAGCCCCCTTGTGCTGCCCCAGGCCCAGTTTGCACCGCATCCAGCGCGCGACTAGAGCCACAGCACCCTCCTGCCGCGACCTCGCATGACCCGGCTGTCCAGGCACCCAGAGCCACTAAGGCCGCCCCGACCCGGACGCCTGCCTGCTTCTCAGCTTGACTTCCCTTCCCGAACTTGGGAGCGTCTTCTGCTTTGGGGTTTGGATCACCATGGCCCTGGAGCGGCGAAAGGGCTGCAACTATAGGAAGGCAGCGGAGAAGGCCAGTGACCGAAGCCTGCCCCAGCCCCCACCCCGCGGGTAACCTTGGAGGCGCCCTCGGAGTGAGTGTGAGCGCTGCCGCGCCAGCCGGCTGGGGCTAGCTGGCGCTCCGCGCAGCGGGCAGGAGGCGGGAGCGTGGGGGCGGGGGAAGGGGAGCCGGGCTCGGCGCCTCCTGGCCGCCACCACAGCGCCCCGGGAACTGCGGGTTACCCAGGCGGCCAGCTCTCACCCCCGGTCCTGGCCCTCAGGCAGCGGTCCGCGAGGAGGCGGCAGCCACTCCACTGGATAGTTCTGGCGACCTGTGCCTGAGGACTGGGGCCGAAGGGCGGCGTGGGAGCAGGAGTGATGGGGCGGGTGAGTGCCTAGCTCTCTGCAGAGGTGAGCTGGCGGCAGGGCGACTGGAGCAACTCGGTGCCCAAAGCCAGTGCCAGCACTCCGTTCCTCCTCCCCCCATGACAGCTGAAGAGAGACGGTCTCTAAGCCTAACGTCCAACTGAGAGGAGACAAATGCCTCTTTAGCTTCTAAGCTCCGGCACTATTCAGAAAGTTACCCTGTGATTTTTGCCTTTCTCTCCTAAATTACTAGAGGTACGGGACCAAAAATGCACGTTCATTCCGAAAGACCCTCAGCCTGAAACACAGTGAATTAAAGGACTGTTTAGAACACCTAGAGGGAATCTTGTTTTTTTTTTCAATCCCAAAGAGTTCAGAAAATCCACTTGAGATCTTAAGCGATGCCTCAAAAGAATAAAACTCCCCAGATTTGGGTGTAGGCTCGGTAAATTAGGTTTCAGGGAAATGTTTTTGCCATCTGCTGTAGAAACATTATGAGAACTTCAGGTGTTAGGATGTGGGTTTGGAATTTTCTATGTTGTCTTTAATCCTCACAGACATGAAAAACAGCTTGGTAATGCCCGGCAAGCGAGCAAAGGTTATCCTTGCCACCACAGCACCTGTGAAAGCACAAGTGGAACTCACATATTTTCCTTCCTGAGTTCTAAAATGGCTTCTGAACTGTCCAGAGGTACCAGCATATACGGGGGGCGGGAGAGGGGGGGTGGCCACCGGGGACAGGAGAGTTTGTACACTTAAAAAAAAAAAACACATATTATTATACTAAAATTTTTGCATCTAACTTTCCCCTATCCCCATCTTCATCAATCCAGGAAGAATTTTAGTGTAGGCCTACTTAAATAATTTTTATATACTGCCTTTTTCTCTTCCCTCACCACCACCCCAAACACACACACACACAAACACACACACACACACACACTCTCACACACACACACACACACACACACACACGCACACACACACATCCCAGCCAAAAACATCAACTCTTTAAGGGAAGAAGTAAGAAACTATCAATCCTTATCCAACTACACGTCATTTATTTTGAGCACTAATAAATCCTACAATCAATGCTATGAAAAAAATAGTTCACCAGGACCTCAAACACCTTTAACGGGTGTAATTAGTGATATTGTCTTTTAACATGAAATCAGTGGGACAGATTCTGGAATTGATAGGTGAAAAACTCAAAATTCTTCCTGGAAGTATTTGGAGACAGAGGCTTCTGCTCCTTGTATTTCATTGTACAATAGTCTTTTAGGATAAAAGCAGATACTTTTTCTTGACCATATATAAAGCAGTATCATGTAGACCAATTTTATTTTAGTTATATGCCTTAAATCTTCAAATTACTTACATGAATAGTGAAAATTCACATATAAAGGAAGACTGCCAACATCTTTTAATGTTGATTTTTTAAATTTAGAAATTCAACCAAATTATCATAACCATATTAAAATACAGTCCCCTCCTGTGTTCCCTTCAGTGTTCTATCTGCTTAAGCTGTTGAAAAAGAAGTCTTCCCTGAGTTTAAAAAGTATGCTTTGGATATGTAACTTCCTAAAGTAAAAAATAGCTCACTGATATTTAGGAATAATTATTCTATCATTTGATAATTCTGTATACAGCTAATGTAACAGTACCTCCTTCTTACATTTTGGAATTATTATATTGTACATTTTGGGCTCCTTGGAGCCCACATAGTTCATGTTCCATAGTTTTCTCCCCTAGATGATTTTGTTAAAAAGTAACTGCCTCCAATGATACAGCAACATTCTGATGCCCATTCTGCTAATTCAAGCACTTAAGACCAGACCTATTCAGACTATTTAAAAATGACATGTGTTTCTTCTATTGTCAAAGTTTAGAACACACATGAATAAATAAAATCATTTGGAAGCCTAGAATAGTTTACAAATCAATAACAATCTTATATTGTGTTGATGATTCAATATAAATAAAATACTTATATAGTAGAAGAATAATTGTGATCAAATTATTAAATTAAGCAGCATCTGATGATGATTAACAATATAATATTCCCTTTTCAATACTCAAATAAACAAGAGTGTGTGTTGTGGTATGCTTTTTAATTGTGAAAGACAATTT